GTAAAATCTCCTGGAAAACCTGTGAGACGGACATGGATTCTGATGAGTCGGGGCTTCAGGGGAAGCTGTGATGGACAGTGTGGAAGTTTCAGAGCTGTTTATAAGAGGGCTTAGCACCTAGTATAGAAGAATACTTTTTTTAAAAAATGGTGAATTTGAAAGGGATTTTTGGATTTGCAAAGTTGTGCCAAGCCTTGAGAAACAGTTAAAGCCTGGCTTTAACACCGTGCTTTCTACATTTCCAGACTCTGGCCCGTGGGTCACACCACCCACCTCCAGCTGGCAGAGGGAGAGATCCTGGTGCTCCCCTTGTGGTAACACTGGCTATGAATCCAGTGCTGACACCTGTGACAGCCGAAACCTTGCCACCGTACCACATTCAATAAACAGATTAAAGTCTTTGTTTTACCAGGCAGCAACGTTTTGGCTTACCATTTCCCTGCACCTAGAATTAACCCGCCCCAGAATTTGCACGGCTCTCCTGCATTTTCTGTGCTGGTCACGATTTGCTCCTGTCCCAGAGCAGGCAGAAGCCCCCAGCAGAGACACAGTCCTGGTGCTGTGAGCTAACGGCATGCCAGCCGGGGCAGGGACGTCTGGATAACAGATTTCCCCCAACGGCCCGTGCCTCCGCGCCCTTCCTCCCCACTGCTGCCCTCTGACCCACGCTGGCTGCTGCCGCGTCTCGCACATGTGGCACTTGCCACACCTCAGCCACCTACGACCGCTTCGGCTTTCCCGTGTGGGCTGAAACGCAGCGCGCAGAGTAGTGAGGTGAAGGAGAGCACAAGTGTGTGAGTCTGGAGTTGTGTGCCACAGCAGCTCTGAACTGATATGCCAGCAGACGTCACAGCCTCCCCTCTAATGTTCTTGGTCATTCCCAGGATTTTCCTCCAATTCCCTTTCCTTTAGCTTCCAATTTCTTTGCTCTGAACAAAGCACTTTGTGCAGCATAGCCAGAGCTCCTGCCTAGGTTTCCCTTTATTCGACCTATATCACTCTGCAGGAGATCAACACTGACTCCAGAGCTCTCCCTCCCTTCGCGAAGGCCCACGGCGAGAACATCGCTGTCTGAACCGGGAAAGTGCTCCAAAACGACACATCCTTTGCAACGCTGTGAAAGACTCGGGTTCACTCAGAGCATTTGCGAGCACCAAAGGACACAGCAGAGTAGAACATTTCCTTCTAGGTAATAAGGAAATAATAGAATCGTCTGCTGAAAGGACAGAGGTAAGTGCTAATGAGCAGAAGAGAGCAGCTGTTATCAGTAAGACACAAGGAGAAGGTTGTGCGCAGAGAAGCAAAAGATTACTGCGTTTGTTGACAGCAAAAGAACATTGAACCAGGTCAAGAAAGCAAAGATCTAGGCAATTGATGAAAAATTCAAGAAAGTATTACATTGTGCTTTCGGCTTTTATCTTGAAATTTAACTCTTTTTGTTTTTCCCCCCAACGCTGTGAATTCCTGGCCCTGCACAAAGACTCCAGGGTTAACAGACTGAAACACCTGCTCTTGACTGCATGGCAGCAAGATCCATTTTAAGGCTGGGAGCAAGGAGAGGAACTCTTTGTTGATTCCTCTTGTACTGGGTCTGGCTGAGCTGGAACTGGTTTTCCCCTACAGCAGCCCCCATGGTGCTGTGGTTTATGCTGGGACCTGCAGGGTGTTGGCAGCACCCTGGTGTTGTGGCTACTGCTGAGCAGCGCTTACACAGCACCAAGGCTCCTTCCGACATTTCCCCCCCGTGGGACAGGCTGGGCAAGATCTCGGGAGGGGACACAGCCAGGACAGCTGACCCTGACTGACCCAAGGGACATTCCACACGATGTGACGTCTGCTCAGTACAAAGCTGGGAGAAAGGAGGAAGGGGGGGGAGTGACCCTTGTTCCTCCGAGGCAACCACTCTGCGTATGGGAGCCCCCCGTCCTGAGAAGGCCCCACAGCACCTATCCGTAGGAAGCAGAGAATACATCTGGTTTCTTTTCTTTGCTTCCACACACAGAACTTTGCTTCAATTTGCTTATATTAAAACTGCTTTTGTTTTACCCACAACGGTTGGTCTTATTTCCTTTCCCCTCTTTGCCCTGTTGAGAAAACAAGGGGAAAGGTGGTGGTGGGGGAAGTGATAGAGCGACTTGGTGGGTACCTGGCCTTTAGCCAAAGTCTTTTATGGTGCCCACATGGGGCACAACAACAGCAGTGTTATATTATCTGTGCTGTAGCTATAGCAGATTAAGCCACAAGCTCTTGTGCTGGTCATGGGTTTGTTGGTTGCACTGCTTATCTTTATTCTGCTAAGCTCAGGAACATGCTGCAAGGAATTGGGAACATCACGAGTGATTTTATTTTGCAAGCTCCTGAGTTACTTATTCATCCTTATGTTAGCTCGTTGATACAGTTTATTAATGCTGTTTGCCTCTTGTGGGTTGTGTGGAGCTCAGCATGTTTTTGGTGTAAGAGAAGGCAAATTTGGGGTGAGTCAATACCAAAATGTGCCCTGAGGTGGCCTGTCCCTGTGTGGCAGGGGGAGTGGAAGAGTTTGGGCAGATTCCCAGGATGGTTATCCCCTCCTGTAGCCTGGGGTCTCACCCCTGAACAGGGAAGCAACCCCACAAAATTGACACACCACCTGATAGAGGGGTGCCTTGCCCATCCCAGTGAGAATCAGCAACTTCTAGCGCTGTACTGGGGCCTGGCCTGTGCTTACCGAGCTGCAGTTCAGCACTCCCAAAGGGCTGTGGTTGACATGGGAACTCAAACAACAACAACAAGAGAGATTGCCCCAGTAGAAAACAAGAAACAATGGACAAGGAGAACAACACGCCCATACCCTTGATTAATGAGGGAGGAGAAAGAAGAGTCCTTCAGCAAAGGAATCGGAGGAGGGAATAACAGAACTGAAACAGGAGGCAGAAACTACCCGGTCCCTGACGTCACCAGAACTGCGAGAGCTGTGGAAAGACTATTGCCAGCAGCCGGGGGAGGGGATTGTGCCTGGCTGCTGCGATGCTGGGATAATGGGGCAGATGCTCAGCAGCTGGAAGGTAAGGAAGCCCAACAGCTGGGTTCCCTTGCTAGAAATCGAGGCATTGAAAGGGGAATTGGAAAAGAGACAGCAATTTGCAGTCTGTGGAGACGGCCCCTTTCCAGTGTTAAAGCAAGGTATCCTTTCAAGGAAGATCTTATAAACAGCTCACCAGGGAAGTGGACTGCTGCAGATGAAGGTGTCCAGTACATGAGAGAATTAGCAGTGCTGGAAGTCATCTATGGTAATCCAGATAATGATGAAGCTGCTCAAAATCCAGAGGATGTCCTGTGCACAAGGGCCACGTGGAGGAAGG